GAAGCTCCCATGAATAAGCTCGCTACACTTTTTACCCCATACCCCTCCGAATCGGTGAGCTCCCCATAAGTAGCGCAGATTGGACTCATTCGGCCCTTCCGAACTTGTGGTATCCAAACATCACCCTCGTGGCCAGTACTCCAGCTCTTACACCTAGCCCATGTCCTTAAGAATCAGAACTCCATTGGCACGCCGGTTGCCCATGTCAACCCAAAAGCGGCAGCGAAAGGAACAACAAGGGAATCAGTCAAGACCACGATGCCACGCCCTCCCAGCCAACGTGGAAGCCTCAAACGGAACCAAGTCTTTGACAGGGCCCTGATGAGGGCCCCTTACTGAAAGGGGCAGGGATTTGGTTGAGCGCTTCTCCGGCCCCAACTGTGCCCCCCCCCCCGCCCACCGCCCCGCCTGGCGTGCGGTAGGTCATTGACAAGTGCCTGGAGGTCAAGGGAGGCGCGTGGTAGGTCAAGGGGGCTCAAAGCTGTTCAGTTCCGGGACGGGAGTTCTCCTGCCAAGTCTCTAAGAGATACGAGGTAGAGATTTCAATGGTCTTTCCGACATGAGAACTGTCATTCGTTGACGCAGGCCCGCTTGACGCTGCAAACGGCGGCCTCTCAAGCGGTCACATCAAGTTCCGGCGTGATGCTTGTAGTGTTACGAAGACACCCCTCATTTGAGCCACGTCCGACAACTTCCATGAAATGTTTGGCGATGCAACGCGGATGCAAGGCAAAGAGGTGGTGTGAGCACATTCCAGACAGCGCCACAGAGTGTGTCTGATACACTGAATGTGCCTTGATCGAGGACAGCTTATCTCGGTGATTGGGATCCTCCTTAAAGATACTGCGTAGAGCAGCACTCTCCTTGCTCTTGCCATCTCGTCCCCGGGTCCCCAGAGAATTTCGGCAGCATTGGGGGGGGGGGGGGTTAGCTTGCAGGCAAGCCCGGCAAGCTGGTTCAGATCCCGGAGAACCAGGTCAAGAGTCTTTGCACCTCGGCCCGGCCCTCGGATTCGGCTCGGATGGCTTGGTGCGCTGGATTGATGGCCGGTTCTAACCTTGGAGTGCAGGCTTAGGGGTTCCTAGGCCCGACTCTTGCATGATTTCCGCGAATATCATTTTTTGTTTGTTTGTGTGTGTGTGGGGGGGGGGGGCGTGCCCTTTTTAGTGATTTTCAAGAAGGCCCAAAGGGAACACCACGATTTTGGGGCTCCCCTAAAAAATCGACATACCCAAATGCCAAAGGAAGCCACGCGAGGAGGAGGATGGATATCTTTTGCACTTGTCCAGTCTCTACCCAAGCGAAGCTCGGTAAAGCGCAGCCTCATGCGCAACAGTTGTTGAGGGAAGCCTGAAATGCCCCACTCTGCCCTATCCAACCGACCAGCGATCAGTGACCATCGGACCATCGTAGCCGCTTAGCCGCACCAAGCTTGAGCCTGACCCCTGCAGGCTCGCGGGATTTTCTTGGAACAGAGCGCGCTTTTGGCCTCTTGGCGGGAAGGGAAAGGGCGAGGACCGATCATGAAGTAAGTTTGGGGCCCTGGATGAAACCATTAATTCTTAGATCTGAGTTGTAAGCAACTGAGGCGAGATGACTCATGTTTTTTTGACATTAAAGATGGCGCCTGAACCGTGGGGTATCGCCTTTAGGCCCATATTGTTTGACGTAATTATCGGTGCCATGTTCAAACTGGGTGTGACATTAGCTCGTACTGCCCTTTTTGTGGGCATCTTGGGCGGCCCTCGTGGGACAGATGCAAGGTATATGGAGGTAGGTGGATCAATGCACATTTGTGTAATCCACAGCCTTCTCTTGGCTTGTCCTTGAATGCGTAGGGGACATGTGAGGGAAGTCATCAGATTGGGATAGTCTTCATTTTGCGGATTCTGGTGTCGGCGGAGCTGAGCACAATTGTAGGTAACGAGCTACATTCTGGAAAGAACGATCCTGGCAACCAATGACCCTTGAGTCGCAAGCCCTTCTGCCAACTTGCCTCGCCCACGAGCTTTGAGAATTTGGCCTCCAGAGCATTTGGGGCCCTAGGAAAGTGGGAGGCTCTTTGCATATCGGGCCAAAAGATGTCGCACATTCCCACCGGCTCGCCCACCCTCGGCGATTGACGCTGCCAAATCAGCGGCGCATTTGTCCCTGCAAAAGGGAGTAGTTGACATGCTTAGGGAGCCGAAAGCTGGATCCGAAAGAGAAACAGGGGGAAGGGCTCTGTGCAGTTTTCCTTCCAGTGACAGGGAGATCTCCCCTTGCCAAGGAGCTGGAAGCTCCTCTCAAGATTTGCGGGGACGTGCACGGCCAATACCACGACCTTCTGCGTCTCTTCGAGCCGCCTCGGCGGGAAATTTCAGCCCTTTCTCTGGTTTTATCCCTCGGGAAATCTGCGGGAGAAAGGGAGTGAGGGGGAAGAGAGGCGCCGGGAAGAAGGGGGAAGGGAAAGCGTAGGGCCTCGGTGAGAGGTTCGACCCTAGAGGGTCTGGTGCGTATGATGTCCCCCAGTTAGAATCCTCATTGCGGGGTGGCTGAGTGCGAGCCTGCTTATTTTTCACGGGTTCGTGAAGGATGAGGCCTAACCCTGGCAGCCAGGGCGCGGCATATGGACCCCCCACATGGCTTACAAATAAAAGCCCGGGAAAGCAGCCGCCAAGACATCTGCATTTGTTTTTTTCTTTCTGCGGACCCTGCCTATTGAGGGGCCTTCCAGGTCGAGATTGTCAGGGCCACGAAGCGGCAAAAACGCTGCGTGTTTTGCCCACCCGCCCTCCCAGCCCTTGCAAACGAGGTACGGCGGATTCCCTCCGGAGAGCAACTACCTCTTCCTGGGTGACTACGTGGATCGTGGCCTGGACTGCCTAAGGTATCCCCACCCCCTTCAACATGGAATTGGGGGAGGGGGTTGACCCCTGGAATTCCATTTATGGTGCCATTTTCCCTTTTGCGGGGAAGAGTAACAAAAATGGAATTGGGGGATCCCCACTTTTCTGGGATCCTAAGGTTTCTTCGTGTGCATGCTCGGGGTCGGTCGCTTCTGCGGACGGACGAGCCAAACAACGGCGTCGATCGGATGTTGAGTCGCGGCCACTCATGCAGCTGAGCCCGCCACATCGCTCAATGGCTCAATGGCTGAGCCACCATGCAACCATTGGCCAACAAAACAGCCAGCTAGTTGGCCAGCAAACCGGTCCAGCAGTGAACTGATTGCTTGGTCCTCCTGCAATTTTGCTAGTGACCCAGGATTGCTGAGACAGGCCAGGTGAGCCTATCCAGTGGTGAGTCAAATGCAAGTGAAACGCCCAGTTTTCTTTGGGTAGGCCACATGCTAGTTGAGCTCATACATGTCCTGGCCGTGTTTTTTTTTTTTTTTTTTTTTTTTTTTAAAGAGGCATGTGTTAACACCGTTCTGGGGCGCCCCAAATTAAATATTTGACCTTCTCCTTGGCATACTACCAAACAGGGGCCCCAAGGGTTGACATGTCAAAGCGCGCCTTGGGCAATGCGAGTCCGGCTGGTGGTAGACGCTCAGGGACCCCGGGTGCTTATTTCTTTGAGTGCATGCAGGGTGTGCATTGACATATGCATATGTAAAATGTATATATTGTCCTATGAATCTAGAATCTATACACATACAGACACACACACACATTAGCTACAGCTATGCACACGATTATGCATTGTATTAAGCAGGAGTAGTTCCAGCACTTTCCAGCGTCAGACTCAATGCAAGCATTTGTTTCGCATTGTTCAGTTTTTTGTTGGTGGCTTCGACTTGGGATGTTGGGGGCGGGGTCCCTGAAGGTTTAAGAGGCTCACCTGGGGCCGTTTCCAGGGTTCAGGTTCTTTTTGGGTTGAGGAGCGAGCCTCCACAAGACACCTGTTTTTTTTTCCCCACCGATCCGGCACATAGCTCCGGTACCTCTTTTCAGGAAACCCCTTATTGGTTTGGGGATTTGAACCCCTGGTTCTTGTAAGAGGGCAAATGGGAAATCACTCCCTAATCCAAACTCTTGGATGAGCTGAAATACTGCACCGGAAGTGTGGGGTGTTTTTTTTCTATTTGGTTGAGGCGGCAAGCAGAGCTTGGAAACCATCATCCTGCTTTTCTCCTACAAGGCCGGGAGCGGTAACGTCCGTTTCGGGCGAAGTTATCAGTCTGAACCCCGCGCCGGAAGTTTGCGGGCATTCAGGCGTGTGCTGAATGACTTTTAGCAATCCCGTCCCCATTGCGCTGAAATCGGCACGGCACTGGGCTGCACACGGCTTCTCTGAGAAGGAGCTGCCAAGGCCAAGAAAAGACTCAAGACTCGAAATTTGCAAATGTCGGCCCAAAACAAGTGCAAGCAGGGCTCACCTCAAAAAGGCATCAAGTTGCTGACATGTTTAGCTGCTTGTCCCACCCTGGTGGCGCATGGTCAATGTGTGGTGGAGATATTTAGGCAGAGGGTCGGAACAACCAGGATGTTTTGTTTTGCTAGACTCAGCACGTTCGGAACTGTTCCGTGCTCGACTGTGAATGCGCTTTTGAGTGCGTTATTTTGGTTGACCTGCGGTTTCTGACGTGGTCAGGTGGTGCATCTCCGAATCACACAAGACACACCAATCTGTTGTGGTGCTCACATCCTACCCATCTTGCGCCCGAAGGTCAAGTTCCCTGAGAACTTTTTCCTCCTGCGCGGGAACCACGAGCCCCCTGGATGACTGATGTTGCAGGCATAGGTTCTGTTTGTGGAGCCCCTTGCAAGGGGTGCTCCTTTCTCAAGTCATCTTGCATCCACTCACCAAGCCCTGCCACGTCCTACACTTGACAAGGGATGTCAAGGGAAAACAGGAGCTAACTAAATTGACATGTTCCTCGAAAACACTTGAATCACCCCGCCATACATATTGCGTCATTTTGCGCTAAAAATAGCATTGCGTCATATGACTACATATTACTACATATTACTACAACACTGCCAAACGGCACACCAGCGCTATGACCCCGGCGCGTCATGGCGCGTCATGGTACGGGATGGTGCGACACGCTCTTCCAAAACTGAAATAAGCTGACAAACAAGTAGCACTTCAGTAGCACAGATTGCACCCATCGCCCTTTGACGAGGCGGATGAGGCGCTGAAGATTGTGCTAACTGGTTTCCCTATCCAAGGGTTAAAACAACTTGCCGTGGTTGAGATTGGTTGGTGGTTAAGGAGGGGTTTCCCATTCTCCCTCTACAAAAAAGCCATGCCATGGTTCAACTCCCCAGTTCCCACCAATCCAAGCTACCACCCAAGGGTGACTTGATCAAACCAATCAACTGGACACCAGCCCTTAACCACCAAAACACTGGGCTCCAAACCACCAATTGGAGGGAAGCTGAGAAACTCCAAGCAAGCGTCCGCGGATCGCTCGGCTCCGGCTTTCCACTGGCCGCGCTCGCTGAGGTGCGCCTCCATCACGCGGATCTACGGCTTCTACGACGCGGTCTGGCTGCAGCTGGCAGAAAGGCTACGTCTTTGGGACACCCACCCACCCCCCCCCCCAACTGATGCCGTTGGGATATGGAGGTTGGACGGGTCTGCGCCACTGGATGTTTTCGTTGGGTGATCGGGCAGAAGCTTTTCTTTGTGGGCAGGCGTGGCAGGAACCCTTGTGACCCAACTCCCGGGCAAGCAGTTTGGCATGCTGCGAGCCAAGCTACTGCCTGCGCACATGCCGGCTCCCTGAAAGTGAACATGTGGTGTGTTTCCTTTATGGCAATGTTGAGGATGTCTTTGCTGGACCCGGACATGGCACCAAGGAATGCAAGAGGCGCTACAACATCAAGCTCTGGAAGCAGTTCTGCGACGTTTTCAACTGCATGTCGGTTTGCGCCCCTCAGCCTTGTATAGCGCGGTAGCGAGTCCCGTTTGGAAACGAGACTCTTGGTCACTTCCCCGTGATGAACATTGCGTGAGCAGTTCAGCATGTGGGCTGCCAATTGGTTCAGCACGCTTCCCCATACCGTCGTTCTTCCTTTTCGCGTGGCTAAGCTCAGCGGTTTTGCTTGCCAACGAACATGGGCTCGGTCTTGAGGCGGTCATCGATGAGAAGATTGTTTGCATGCACGGCGACTTGGCAGCAAAAGGGTAGCGTGCTTTTGCCTCAAAACAAGGGGCCACCAAAGTTTGTTGGATTCCCATTGGCTTCCCTTGAGAACCGACCTCCCCCACAAACAACTAACAACAAGATCGATAAAAACTGTGGCTGCTTCTTGTGAGCTGGGACCCTTTTGATGTTGGCGGACTGCGGCGCGGTTGGTTGGTGGCTTAGCTTCCTGACACCAGCATTGAGCCCCCGGCCTCTTTTGATTATCCCTATTCTTATTTATTCAACAGCTGAAAGCTTTGGGGGCTCAGCTCAGATAGGCTCGGGGTGGTTTTGAGGGAAGGTTCCGGCAGGGTTGCGCGAGTCTGCAGGGTTCCGCAGGTTCCGCATCGGTTCCGCATGGGTTCCGCAGGGTTCTGCGAGGGCTCCTGGTGCTTCCTCTCAAATTGGTGAGTCCTTGGCTTTTTCGGCTTGATCGAGCTATGGTCAGCAGGCAGCAGGAAGCATCGCACCTGAGCCCCCCCAAGCGGAGCATCGATTAGGACCTCTGCGTTTTTGCACAAACCTCCAGTGCTCATGTCATCCCCTTCAAAGTGGAATTGGGGGAAGGGGGTGAGTCCTGGAATTCCCTTTGCGATTTCCTTTTTTTCAGAAGACCAGACGAATGGAATTAGTGGACCCCCCCCCTTAAATACGAAGAATCCAATGTCTTACTGCTCCTTGGGAAGGGTTTCCCTTTAAAAGCTGCTGATTCTCAGGCGGCCTCTCACCTGAGATCACCAGCTTTGAGCAGGCGGACGGGTGCAGTTGGCTTCGTTCGGGGAAGCCGCCGCGAGCGGCTTAGCGGCTGTGCTCCTACGGTGGATGGTTGCGAAGTCTATTTCGCACGGCTTTGAACCATGTGTTGAAGCCGCTGTTGGTTGGTATTTGCGTCGGGGCATCGAATCATCTCAGAGCTTCTGAGCGGTGGTGCGAATGGATTCCGCTTCGCGCTGTGAGTCTCTGAGTTCACTGGAGGGGCTTGGAACCGTTGTCAGAGATGGTAGGTTTCCACACCTCCCAGGGTGTGAGTGCAGGATCAAAACAAACTGTTCCAAGATGAAAGGCAACATGTTTCCGGATTGCAAAACAGCTGGCAACCAACAAACACCATGGTCGGTCTTGGCGCATTTCAGAGGCAGTATAGGGTTGGTCGGGGGCGGTCATGGGTTGGTTGAAATCGAGATTAGTGCTAGTTGGCAGCTGGTGGGTGAGTTTCAGGTGGAGTCAGGGCGTCGCCTTCGGGGAAGCACTCCTCCAACCCGGAACTTCTCCTGGGTTGAACTCCCTCAGTCCCCCTGCAAGGTCCCCAAATAGATCCGTTTTGAAAGACCGCCTGGGCTTCTCCAGATGCTCCGAGGTACGCAGATGACGCTTGACTCCCACAACCCTTAAGTTGTGCAGGTCGCACCACAGACCGCAATTCACACTACATGTAGACAGTGCATGGGGAGAACGGGGCCCGGCTTGAGGTAGGCCTAGCGGGTACGCGTTTTTCAGGTCTTCAATGAATCCTTTGATGCAACTTAGAGTTGCATCGCTGCGGCAGCTCTCGTGTGTTGCATGAACACCAGGTAGGACAGTATGGGCAGTGTTGGGATACTGGTTTGCAGGTGAAGCGCATTGTCCGCCCCACCGACGTGCCGGACACCGGGCTCATTTGCGACCTTCTCTGGGCAGATCCAGACAAGGCAGGCCGCTGAGCCTTTCATTTCCCACATTCTGTGACCCTGTGCTGCTTGGTGCAGTCACGTTTGTTTCTTGATCTTCCGCGCAGTGCAGTGCCCAATTGCTTGCTTTTTTTAAAACCAACTTGTTCTCATTTGGCCCTTTCACTGGTTAATATGATTTCCTTCCCGATGTTTCCCCACCAGCTTGCTTGGCTCGGGCTTCCGTCAGGTGGGGTGTCGTTGGAATTTTGGGTTCAATCTGCGCTGTTTTGGAGGCTGCCTCAGGTGTTGCTTTGGCGCCACGTTGTTCCTGCTCTGATGTTAACTGGAACAGCAGGTTGCCGTTTGTCCCCAAATTGCATTTGAGCGATGAGTTGTTGCAGGATCAGCCCTCTTCAGCACACTCCCCTGCCCTATTCCCCGTGTTTTAGGGATGAATTAGCGCAACACCTGAATGGCAAGGGAGCAGGATAGGATCATCGCAAGTCGCATATGCCGGGGCTGGCGGGATGGGGAAACCAGACTTCCAAAAGCGACTGGAACAGCAGGCAAGCCCCTTTCAAGCTCTCAAAAGGGAATCTATCACTACTGGAAATACTTTACCATTACCTGAGGACGAAAGCAAATGGAGGCAAGGCAAGCTGGTTAGAATCCTGTGAGCCCCAATTCCCAGGCAGAGACGCGTGAACGCAAAGGATTGGCTTCAGGCTTCCTAGTCATGAGCCTTCCATCAGGGAGGCGCCAGCACCTCAAAGCAGGTCTTTTCGAGCTGTTTCCATTCGGCTTTCTGGCTTTTCCAAGAAAGGGTGTCGCGCGCCAGCTTAATTCCTCAATGGAGTTCCAAGTGTCATAATGACTCATGGCCCAGCTGCCCGAGCAAGTGCTGGCAGCGAAGCATTGCGTGTGGTTTTTTCAGGACATCCAGGGATGGGCGGAGAATGACCGTGGCGTGTCCTTCATCTTCGGACCGGACGTTGTCAGCAACTTCCTGCAGAAGCAAGTGCCTCGGACCCTAGCGGTCCGCAAGGCTCCCCTGCCGGCCCCAAAAAACGCAGAACCTTTTCGGTTTGCCTTACCAGGACATGCCGCGGCGAGTGACAGAAAGATTCGGATGCCCTGCTAAGGCTGGCAAAATCAAATGGCCAGTGCATAAGATGGGACTTGCAGCTTGGGTCAGGAGAGGTTCTGTCAAGAGCGTTGAACAGACACACGATGCATGTTAAACATGGCATTCCCTAGCTGCCTTGACGGGCTTCGGCAAGAATCACGTGTCTTGGATGTTTCTTTTAAGCCAAGGAACCTTGAACACGCCCGTCTAGCATGTCAAGATTGGAATGCTCACCAGTCAGGTCATGGTTTAGTTTGCACCTTTGCATTTCTCCGTGGGGGTCGGGTGGTCTTCGGGGCGCCACTTGCGGGTATAAGTGGTCAACTATTCCAGCACCCATCGTGTCATAATGCAATGTAGCCACAGGATGACATGGGAAAGCATAAGGCCCACGTTACTAGAATAGGGCCGGCTATTTATAAAGTTACACGATAATTGTATAATCAGTTTGCCCCTTTGACCTCCCTGGAAGTGAGCATTTTGGGTTCTCAAGATTACTTTTGGGGGGGCGTCCCTTCAAACAGCCAAGAGAGCAATACCGAGGTCACTTTAATGGACTCCTCAACGACTCACCAAATCGGCTCAGGAGATGGACTTGGTGTGCCGCGCTCACCAAGTCGTGGAAGACGGCTACGAGTTCTTTGCCAAGCGCCAGCTGATCACGCTCTTCAGCGCTCCAAACTACTGCGGCTCTGCGAATGGCCAGTTTTTGTCGGGCTGGGGAAGCCGTGTTGAGCAGTATTGAATCGTTTGGGGTCTACTTCACCGTTGTTGGATCATGTTTTTATGTTTCTTAGTTGTTTGGTTTTAATTATTCTGTTTTAGTAGGGGCTGCAAAAAGCAATGGTTGTTGCTACCACGCCAAGGGTTGCAACGTCTATAATCTATCTTCTAACCACCCGGAAGCCTGCAAAAGGCATGGGTCTCTCCTCCGGATCCCGGCATGAGAAAATGCTTTAAAGACACATCATCGGATCGGACTCCACGCGTTTGGCCGATCTTCCCATGGGTCAAGTCAGGGTGCCCGACCAAAACCCATGGATTGTTGGCCGTGGCTGCGCACGCGCGGCACTTTTGTTTCTTGTTCCAGTCTTGGAGCGCACAGGATTGAGCAAAACATCCTAGAGCGAAGGCCCACAGCGCCCGGGGAGGGCTGCGGGGAGTAGATGACTGCTTGTTATTGTTTCGCTCCAGGATGCTTCATCTCGGGCCCTGTGACCCGTGGGTTTGATGTCACCTATGCGGCTTGTTGTTCCGCTTCGAGTCCTTGAAGCCAATTTGGATGCATCGATTGCGGGGTTCAGCAGCCGAACTCGCGGGATTCCTTGTTGGGGGTTCCGCGGCGTCTCCGGCGACTTTCCACGCGGCCGAGCCCCGCGAGCCCGCGAGCCGGCGAGCCGCGCCGAACTTCTTCTTGGGTGTGGCTCAGAATTAAAGAGCTGGGGTTACGCGGGTTTTAGTCTGTGGTTCCATTCGCCAAGGTGGCCATTTTAGTACCGGTTCTTTGAGCCACAGCCTCTTCTCCGCAGGTGGGGAGTTCGACAACGCCGGGGCGATGATGTCCATCGACGAGACGCTGATGTGCAGCTTCAAGGTCTTGAAGCCCGTGAAGAAGAAGTGAGCGCCCGCGAATTCCCCGCAGAAGCTTCTGGCCGGCACGTGACCGGTGAAGCCCATCCGATGCCACTCGTGATTGTGGTTGGCTTCCGGAAGCCCAGGAAGCATGCCCCTCAACATACTTGAAAAGGTTCATGTGCGTAGCTCAGTTGTGTTCAGTCCCTTCGGAAAAAGCCTTGTTGCTTTTTGGCAGTGGCTAGCGAGGTTCCGCAAGGCATATCATGGATTGTCCTGTTGTTTGTTTTCGCTTCATTTTTAGGTTGATGGTGTGTCGAGTTAATTTACGGGGGTTTGCCAAACCGGCCACCAGCTCTCAACGTCTCCGCTTTGAAATTCAGCACTCCCCCCAACTTGCGGCGGCGGGTGCAAACAAGCTGGAAGAGGCAAAAGATACCACCACGAGCGCCGGACGGCGGCCGCTTTGGCGGAATTTCTCACTTGAATGAGGGAGGCCCACAAATGGGGCTCAATGCAACCGGACGCAGGCAGGGGTTCAAGGGTTACAGATTTCTCCCAACACGGTTGGACTATGGATACGTCGCAAGAGTCAAAATACGGGACCCCAACATGGTGGGTCTTTCTTCTAGTTTCCCTCGCAACAAGGCTGAAAAGGACACCCCCCCCCACAAAACACACAGACCAAAATTACAATGACAAACACAGCCACAAACACAAAAACACAAAACCACGCGCACACACACACACAACGCACAAACACACACACACACACACAGACACACAGAGGGGACATGGGTTTGTCTTGGAGATAGCAGGGCGCCTGAGTTGGTGGGAAGGGGACATGGGTTTGTCTTGGAGATAGCGGAGCACCCGAGTTGGTGGGTGGTTTTCCATTGAATCAATCCGAGGAAGTTCACTTTTTGCATGAGGGACCCCTGCGCACGGCGTGGCCGTATGGGTTGCCAATGCCTGGCCAACCCGAAGGAGAGTCTCTCCGTCGGCCCCAGAAGGAGCCGAAGAAAAGGGCGGAGTGAATGCGACCGCACAACACGCAAAACCTTAGCCCCTCCTCTTGATTGTAACTGGGTTGGATGTGTTGGATTTAGGCTCTACCTTTTTGGGATGTCAAGGGGTTTTCATCAAACCAACAAAAAGTTAGGCGTTTTGCAGAGGGGTCAACAGCCAGCAAGTTTTAGTTGACACCTATATTGCGTTGTGCAGACGTCAAGCCAAGACAACTTAGATTCTTGTAGGACAGGGCCATGACAAAATGTTCTCAAGCTGCAAGCAGTGGGGGAATTTGCCTTTTAGCGCAGCCCTTACGACTCCTTCAGGCGCTGAAGACAACCTGCCGACTCGGCGGTTGGAAGCTCGGACCCGCACAACTCCCAAGTGAAGAGTCGCTTTACAGGGCGTGGGCGTGTCTTTAAAGAGGCACCCCACCCCCAAAAAAAATATCCTGCAAAAACACGCACACATTTCTTGCAGAAGAGGGATGTTCTTGGTGGAGTTGATTTGCCCATGGATCATTGAAGGCAGGTGGGTGAGTTTGGTTGCGTTCTATGCTTCGCCCTTGTATCCCCACCTGCTGAGTGATGTGTAGAGACAGGGGTCCAAATCCTTTGGCCTTTAACGGCCCCTCCCCACCTGGTTTATCTGGGTGGGTCCAATTGCCAGGGCTTGTTTTTCCTCAGAATTCAGATTTAAACCTAAGAAGGCGGATGTCTCAAGCTCCACGCTGGACGGCCATAGTCCCTGGGAGAGCCTAGGAGGGCGCGGCGGCCGCGGGGGTCGTGACACGAAGCCGTGCCGATCGGGGAGCAGCTGGAGCATTGGCGTGACACGATGGGCTGAAGTTCTCGTCTCCGTTTTTTTTTTTTTTTGGGGGGGGGGAGGTTGCGTGGGCTTGCCCACAAATGACAGGTCAGACAGATTCCACGTGGCCATCGTGTGTATGTATATATATAATATATAACGATACATGTATAACATATGTCGGCATATAGGTAGAAATACTGAATATATATATATATATATAAGTATAGAAATAGATGAATCGATTTGCATCCACGTAGGTGACTAAAGCATGTTTTGTGTAAATATGTGCAGACACACGCACGCACATATATTTATATATATATATATATATACATGTATACATATGCGTGGTTTCGGGGGGCTGCAAGATCTGCGGAATACATGCCCTGCTGTTGGAAGCGTGTGAGCACTCTGCCAGCAGACCCTTAGCCACCAGTCTCCTTGCAAGGAGGCAGGTGTTCAGCACATGGCCGGAGCTCTGGGTGGCCATTTGCTTGCTGGGCCCTTGCCCTTGCGGCCATGTCGTGAAATACGGGTCGTATGTCCGCTTTCATATCAAGGATTTCCTCAAGAAAGTGACAAGCTCCTAGGTCCTAGGAGGGATGGCCCACTTCAGTCACAAGGCATCATGGCATATGTTCCTCTACGATTGTGACATGGTGGTTCAGGAGGCTTCCAAATTGCAATGAGCAGCGCTGGTCCCACCTGTCAGATTGCATGGCTGCTTTTGCCGATCCCGACCGGGCACGGCGGCCTGGGCTTAGCCCAGTGGTTTTGTCCCCGCGGCGCCCGCCCTGCACGACGGAAACCCCGGATTTCGCGACCAGCCCCTAGTGGATGCAGAAAGGGCGTCGAAATCTCGGGTGGTTCGGTAATTTCCCAGTTTCATCCACCAGGGGATTTCGTGGAATACCGGGGTTCCCGTGATTCTACACGATGTTGGTGAGCAACACTGAACTCGCGGGGTTCGGTGGCGCTAGCTTAGCCTCTGCATCCATGAAGTGTTCACTTGGATGGATTGCACATCAAAAGGCAAACCAGCGAGCGATTCACTGGCGCCGGTTGTTTTGCCTTTGGGTTGTTGGCTTGTACGCAACTGGATTGGTTTTTAGTTGTTTCCTTCTGTGGGCGTGGCGGGGCGCACAGTGATTGCACCTTAGCAAGCTGCGCAGGGTGTTGTAAGGCCGAAATGGTTAGAGTAGGGTATTATCAAACCAACATACCTCATGATCATGGCCAACCGCGTTTGTAACTATTCAGTTGTAGCACCTTTTGTCACCTGACAAGCCACCGGATCCCAACATGGCCGCCAGCCACGGCTGCGCGGCTGCCTGTGCAGACATGGCCTGAGTGATATCACCAGCTCTCGCCCCAGTCAGAAAAAATGCACAGCGCCAGGCGCAAGATTTCACGATTGCCCTCCCGCAAGCCTTCACGTGGACAGGCCCACAAGGCCCCCTCACGAGGAAAGTCTTCTAAGAGGGTCTGTGCAGTCCTATGCCTGGCGGGCGAGAAGTCTGGGGAGAGAGCGTTTCTGGGCTGCACTGTGGCCCAAACCTTCTTTGAGACACAACAGCCGCTGGTCTCACGCAGCAAGCAGCGCCAACTGCTCAGACCGACACAGCTCAGAGCGTTGGCCTTTTGACTCCCCCCCTCGGATTATTTCACCTTGTCAGACTTTTCAGGGACAAGGGATTTGGGGGAACAACGGACATCCACAACAGTTTCAAGCACCCCCTCTGGCGTACTAAAAGGAAACTAGAAGGAAGGCAACCGGTTTATGGGTTTTGAATCTTGAGCCAAACCCACGTGGATGGTTTTTTCCTTCGTTTTCCTCGAGACTGGGCGGTGCTGCTTGCTTGGCTGGCCCGGCGGATGGTGATACGTGCGCGGCTGGTGAAAAGGAGATGGCCGTGCGTGTGGGAAGAATGTTTGATTCACGTTAACCCCGGATTAATTCATGGGGCCTGGGGTCGGAGGGGGGGGGGAGGGGGGGGAGGGCTGGGGTGACCCCTTTCAGTGGGAACCCGGATCAATTTTGTCGGGACGGGGGGGGGCCCTATTTATTTTTCATGCATCCCATAACTTCTTGGGTCTTCATTCGTTCTCGTTCGTGTTTGTTGCTGGTTCCATGTTTATCTTGCTGGTGCTCAGCAGGGAACCTGGGGAATTCCCTTAAAGAAAACCAAATCGGTTCTCATTCCCTACCTATCGCACCAGCAAGTCATCGGTCGTTCCACGAGTGTCTCATTGGACTCATGCCGTCCGGATGCCGGCAAGGCAGGTGGTGGACGAAACCAATTCGTGAACCTGCGCGGGAAACCCACAGCTTGTCCTGTTGTCATACGTTGAATCATATTGTAGGGGGGTGTTCCCCTCCTCCATGAATGAGCTAGGGTTGATTGATATGCTCAGTTGCTCAGTGGCACCCTGTGTCCCTTGGTTTTTTTTTGGTGGCTGCCCCACTCAAACCGGTCTTCTCCAAGAAGGGGTTCCCTTTTTCCCCCGGGTCACTGAACTGAGCACGTCATATGAATGGCCTCGGGAAGCGCAGCCTGCAGCAAGAGCTCCACACACCGTTCTGGTTGCTCCAAGTCGGTGGTGCTGGAGCCCCCGTTTCCTTTTCGAGCCGGCCGGAGGTTTGCAGGCCCACAAAACTGGAGAACGCACAGGGGGTGTGGGCTTGGAACACCGGTCCCCATCCGCGGGCATTCTCATCATCTTTTCCGTCGCGCCTGTCCGGCTCACCAGCCTTCGCGCTTCGGTGACTTCGCCAGGACTGGGTGGAGCCTTCCAACACCCCGATTTCAAGGGAAGCCACAAGCTGTGTAGCCAAAACATGCCAAAACTGGGCGGGAATCAACCGACTCGTGGGCAAATCAACTTCGCTTCCGCGCAGATTGCTGGATGTTCTGCTCAAAACTGCTTGTCTGTTGCAAGCTGACATTATCAGACAATTGGACCTTGTATATTGTGCCCAACATTGCTTGCCAGTGGCAAGCGTGCCCTATCAGACAGTGTTGAAGCAAAGGCCAGGCACCAACAGCGTCTTGTCTATTGCCAGTGTATCTGCCATTCTTTTGGCATCTTCCTTACACTGTTTGGCATTAGAACTTAGCTAGAATTCAAATAGAACCCTGCAGGGAAAGACACGCTGCTTAAACGGAGAGACACACCAATAGAAACTCCAGGGAAATGCAATGTCAGTTCTATCGGTTCACAAGATCTAGGTTGCACAGCTTTAACTTTGAATGATATCTTAACTAGCTTTCAAGAAAAACATCATTGAATCATAGCTGAATTGCAAGCCTCTGAAAATAGGAAAAACCAATGGACAAAAGCTGCTTTCACTACCATTTGCATTGCGATGCTTGTATTTACACTCAAATTGGATTTCGATTAGACTTCTCTTCATTTTTTGAATTAGACATTAATGGGATCTTGTCCAAATTTGCGTTCAATTAGAATCTAGTTATATACTTGTTTTATTATTTTAAAGTATGTTGGAAACAGGAATCCCTTCCAATTCAAATTGGGTTTTCTTTCCAAATATGATTTTGTTTGACATGTATATAGCTAGAATTCAGGAAGGAAAGACAAGCTGGTAGCTTTTGCTGGCTATTGTTTTGAATCAGAATTTGGATTGGATTTCCTTTGTATCTAGGATGGGAAATGGAGAATCTAGACAGAATGTGGTAAGGAAAGGTAAGCTGGCTGTTTCTTCTAGTTCTTTTGAATAGAACCCGGTTGCGGTTAGCGGGTGCATGCCCAAGCTGCGATGGCAAATGTTTCCTTGCGGATATTATGTTCTTCTTGCTGACCCAACCTCAAGAACAAAAACCCTGGAGCGAAAAACCAAAACCAAACATTCAGACCCTATGTACTTTGTTTCATGCTGGCAGAGTTAGGGTGTATGTTTTTATTGTTTTATCACGTTTTTAGGCGGTTATGGAAAAGTGGAAAAAACCGAGGAAACCAACACAACAACTAACATTTCAGACCCTATGTATCCATGCTGGCTGAGATAGGGTCGGACAGTTTTTTTTGTTGGTCCTCGCGGTTTTTGCGTACTGTTTGGAAAAGTGCAGAAAACCTCGAGAAAACCAAACAACAACAACGGCTAAATCTTCAGACCCTATGTATCCATGCTGGCTGAGTTAGGGTCTGAATCTTTGTTTTTGTTTTGTTGAGTTGTTCCTTGAAAGTATCAAAGAAACATACCCTAAGACACACCAACTCCCTGTGTTTCAATAACCCAGCCCCCAAGAGAGGCCCTTCTGTATATTTTCCCTTTTGACTTCTTTTCAACATTGAAGTCGGCGAATGTAAAGTGAGTTCCGCTTTTGGCGGTGTGATGTTCGAAGGGAGGGCCTTGTGGATTCCTGTAGGCTCACACTTCTTTGTGGGTCGCTTTCAGTTGTTTTGTTATGCCAAGTTGGCTGGGTGTTGGCCCCGGTCAATTGCCTCGTGTCAACCCTTGACAGACTCGGCCACCTCTGCTTGGCGCTAAACATGGTTTACAAAGCCAGTAAACCACGTTTAGGAGGTTTATACACCATTTATGATCAAGCAACGGCGCAGGGTGAAGTCCTGAGTTTCATTTCCAGGCTGAGCTCCCGGCTACATTTTCGCGCGTTGCTGTTTCCGACAGTTCCCACTAACCTGGCCAAGAAGGATATTTGTAGGAGCTTCGCTTGCGTGGCTTGATGCAGGACAGAAACCCACGGCACCATGAAGAAGCAGGCATCATGGCTGCATTTGTGGCGCGCAAGCCTCTAATTACTTGGGGTGTCCTTTTTAGGGCGGATGAAGTATGGAACAGAGTCAGAAACTATTTTCTGTGCGCCCCACCTGTGGGCCAAGGTATCATAGATTTTATTTGGGTATATGCTTTAGCTTTCAAAATGCCTTAAACCTGGTTCCAGTCGATCCGCACTTAGATGGGCATGCCCATGGCTGTCAACCACGTTTTTCTCACTTGGGGCTGGGGCATGTCACGCAGAGGCGCCGGTTTTTGTTCGGGACCTGCCTTCCAAGGAGGATCTCGCTATTGAGGAGATCATCGAGAAATGCCTGGAAGTCAAAGGAGGCCTGCCTCGTTTCGAAGCGCTTGGGTTGGGATTCGTTGAGAGCCCGTGCGGGGGTCTGTTCTATCATGTTTGTGAATGGGTGACACAAAATATGGACCAGAATCACGCATATGTATACAATATATATATATATGTATGTCTGGGTTTTGGTTGGAGGCAGAAGGTGAGGCAGGTTCATGGCCTGCTTCAGGAGAGACATTGGGGTTTGCGGAAACCTTGTAAGAGAAGGCCCCAACGTTGAGTGGGAGAGCCTTTGGTTTCCTCCAGGTCCATTTTCCTTTCAGCCATGGACCCCCCAAGGTCCCTTATGAACCCCCAAGTGTCAAGTGGCTTATCCTTGGCTTCTCATGGGCTTTATCCAGAAAAGCAGCCCCCCCATAGAGTTAGTGGTGACTTCTCCCGCCGTCATACTGCGCATTTTGTCCCCACTCCACCCGCCACACTGCGCAAAATCCCACCCATTAAATCAATAAATATCCCAAACGCATTGATACAATCATCGCAAAACAAATGTATCAACCCATTTACTCCTCAACTCCTTGTGACTTTGCTAATTCACAATGCCTTTTCGAGCCATTATGACTACACTTTGATGTTTTCTTTGCTAAAAATACTTGGCACACATCGCACCACCACGAATCGCCACGATCGGCTTCCAACTTCTCCCCGGCTTCTATCATTTGATATCGTTTGTGCCGACTAGTGATTAAATGCTTCGTCCATTCTGATTTAGCTACTTCTACCTTGCAAAGATCACAATATCGTTTTTCTCTCTTCTGTTCCAAAATCTCGTTTCTATGATTGACATAATACTTATGACATTTCTCCGCCATTTTCTCAGGATTATTTTGTTGATAAGTCTTAGCACTAGAAAGGCAATAGTTACATACTTTTCTCCCATCCTTGAACTCTCCTAGTTCTTTCTGTTTTCTGCACCTACTGCATCTCTGTAAGTTTTCCATACTACTATTTACCATCATGTCTTTAAGTGTCTTCTAACTGCGTATTTTCTAAGCTCTCCCACCGCCATACTACATAAATTATCACTCCCCGAAAAATGGTTAACCAATGGAAAAGGGAGAATTAAAACCGTTAACCCAAATCTTGAAAATAATCCCAGTAAAATATGGATGGCAAAATGCGGATGGGAAAGGCCTATGTAGGAAAGCACCCCCACGGCTTATACGGGAAAATTAAACTAAAATTACAACATATAAGATTTTATATGTTATAAGTATAGCAAAACTATGGTATCAAAGGCTTTAATCTATGTATTTCCAGGGGTTGTATTCGTTTCTTCTGTTCCTTCCTTAACTCTTTTGTTGCTTTTACTTTGTCTCTGCATTCCTTACATGTTTTGTAAAATATCTCTTCCATTTTAATTCTATCATACATTTTGTGAAAGTCCTTTCTTGGCTTTGCTTCGTCGCATTTACTGCAAGGATAAACCATTGTGCATCCTGTTTCTTCTTCATCATCTGTAGAACTCATAATATTAGTTATGCCAATATGTCTTTAAACGGATTTTCAGAGAAAAATGTTTTCAATCAAGAATAAACCCCTGTATCTTCATCATAGTCAATTTGATAAAATGTCATAGTTGAAGCCTTCGGTTCTTTAATTTCTTTGTTATTAAGTTTGTTTAAATAAATATTTCTTTTAAATATTTCTTTTACATTGGTTCGATCTACTTCTTTACTTTGATAACTGTTTGTTAAAGGTTTCTTCTTTTCCATTTCTTGTAAGATTTCTAAAATATTCTTATTCTGTTCTAAAACCTTGTTCAGTTTTTTAACCATCTTTTCTAATCCTTCATCCATGTAAATATATATATTATATTATAAAATAAAACTTTTAAAACTAAATGTTTAAATTATGTTAAATCTACTCTTTAAATACTAATTTTTCATCATTTGTTTAATAGTTTCCTGAGTTTCCTTATCACCATTATCGGATGGAGTAACTCCCCTCCCAAAGCGTATAGCAATATTATGAACATCTGTTTCTAAGTTGATACTGTCTTTAGTTTTATCAATATTCATTTTCTTATCATTTCTACTTATTTTGAAACTGGCTGGAATACACGAACATTTACAGTTTCCTTTCTTTTGTATTTCTAATTCATTTTTCATTTCTAACATCTTTTTACACATTGGACAAGCAAACTCAATAACTGATGTCTCTTTAACAACTTCTTCTTTTTCTTCATCAGTTGAAGAAACAACTGGTTCAGTCTTATTCTTTTTCTTTCTTCCCATTTATATTAATATTTACATTTTTATTTTTGATATATTGTATCACAAACTTAATTATTTCTAAAACAAAATAGCATGTTTTCTTGCATCTATTATCAGTTATAACAACTTGTTCTAAATTCTCTACTTCATCTATTATATCAATATAATCTGAATAGCTTCTATTCATATAAAATAATAAATATAAAATATTTTCTAAATAACTTTAATATTATTTTATTATGTCAGATGTTCCAATAATAAAGCCAATACACATAACTGAATATGAATTCAAACAATCTAAATATGAGCACGTGCCAAAATTACCATTTAGAAGTATTATAGTTGCTTCTTCGACAGGTGGGAAAACAGTCTTGGTTCAGAACCTTATCTTAAATGTTTATAGAAATTCATTTGCAAGAATATTTATATTTTCCCCCAGCGTTCATAATGACCCAACCTTTACAGAAGTTAAAAAATATATCAGGGATGAATTGCACGTGGATGATGAAAAAGAACAAATATATTTTGATAATTATAATCCAAGTGATTTAGAAAATGTAATTGAAAGACAGAAGAAAATAATTAATTATATGAAATCTAAAAAGATAAAGAAACTGCATTCAATATTAATCGTTATAGATGACCACGCAGACGATCCTAAATTTGTTAGATATAGTAAATTATTACATGGATTATTTACAAGAGGTAGGCACGATGCAGTAAGTGTAATTTGTTCAACACAAAAATATAATGTTTTAGCGCCTATCATTCGTTTAAATGCCAGTTCATTATATATTTTTAGGTTGAAAAATGCAAGTGAGTTAATGAGTTTTATTGAAGAAAATAGCGCCATTGTTGATAAACAGCAATTATTAGATATGTATCATCAAGCCGTTAATGACGCACCTTATAGTTTCTTCTACGTGAATATGAATGCTAAGAATGTGAATGACATGTTTTTTCTCCGTTTTGAACAGGCATTTCAAATTACAAATGATGAATAAAGATATTCTAATTTAATATAAAATAATAATATGCTAATGAAACTATGTAGATGTGGTGGATTTTATCGTAGAGGTAATTACAATTTTCATACTAATTCTTGGATACATAAACTTTATAAAGTGTTAAAAAGACGACCAACAGACGAGGAATTATTAAGATTTCAAAATAACTTTGTTGATGAAGAAGATTTAATAGATGATATGTGTAGCAATGCCTCAACAAAATTACCCGAAAGTGAAATGACAGATTATGATAGTAATTAATAATATTAATGTATGTTAATATTATCAATTTAGAATAAAGAATAGCTACATAAATTTAAGGCAGGAAATTTATAATATGTTTTATCTTTTTTACATTCATTAACTTTTTCTAATTTATTTATTATTGCTTTCAATGAATTTATTTGTAGAATATCAATTCTTGACATTTCACTTATCGTATTTACATCTATATCTTTTATTACTTTAATAGCCTCTTCATCATCAATTTCTACTGGTTTTGATTTACTTGAACCCATTATATATAATATTATTTAGATTTTAATTTTTCAAAATTATATTTTTGTTTTTTTCTTCTTCTTCTTCGTCTTCAGTTGGTGCTGGTATTTCTGTTGGACTTTCAGATGAAGAACTATGAACAGTAATAGGTGGCGAACTATGAACACTAATAGCTTCATTTGATGAATTGCTACTGCTACCTTGTGCATTTCCTGCTGTTATTTGATTAACTAAATCTGCGATATTTATTGTTGTTGCAATTGCGCTATGTGATAAGTTTAATATTATATCTGCTACTGTAGCGCCGTTGTGTAGCATTACTTCTATCATTTTTGTCAGTTTGAATCTTTTTTCTTCTTCATCGCTGTCCTCCTCGTCTGGTGGTTTCTTTGGCGGTGGTTCTGGCGGTTTGTTGTTGTCAAGCATTGTAGTAAAGGCTGACACCATTGTGTCGCGTTGGTTTTTCAGTGTTTGTGTTGCTTGTGCTCTTGTTGGCTCATGTCTTTTGTATGTGTTGTGCCAAAAGTTTTTAAGCATTATTTTAAACATATTGTCTTGGTTTTCCTTTACCTTAAACGCTTCAAATGTCATATTTAATTGCTGATTTGCATCATTGTATAACTTTTCTTGAGTCTCTCTGGTTTCTGTGGCGATTGTATCTGTATTGGTTGCAATGTCAATAAATTCTCTCGGTATGCCTTCTTTCATCATTTTCGGTGGTTGTGTTGTTATTGGTGTGTTTGGTTTTGCTAGGTTATGTATTGAAAAACTGTCGTCGCGATCATAATTATCATTGAACTTCTGCTTCTTTCTTTTCAGTATATTTTTAGTTAATATAATCATTATTAATTGTATTTAGATATTAATATTTATGGATAGCCACTGGAACCGCTCGCACGACTGGGAGGCTTTGCTTGCGACTTGCTCCTTGCTCCTTCTACCTGTGCTTGCTTTGCTATGTATCTGTAATAAATCACGTTGCCGTAATATTTTCCTAAATCTACCCTAATTGCATCCTTGCGGTCTTTCCCCTTTGTATTATCAAGCAACTGTATTATTTTAAAATAGCCGTCAAACTCTCTCTCTGGCATTAACCCTAAATCATAAATATTCTTAATTACATTGCTCATTTCGAATGTATTATTAGCAAATTCACGCGGAGTTCTATGTTTAACGCTTGTTAATATGTCTAACGCTGGTTTGATAACATCCCACGTTTCATCAGAATATCGCTCTCTTAAACGTTCATATATTTTT